GAGGGACCTGGGGGTGCTGAGCCTGGAGCAAAGGAGGCTGAGGTGAGACCTCTGTGCTCTCTACAACTCCCTGAAAGGACCTTGGAGTGAGGTGGGGGTTGGTCTCTTCTCCCAGGTAACCAGTGGTTGGAGGAGAGGAAATGGGGTTAAATTGTGCCAGGGGAGGTTTCCATTGGGTATTAGGAAGAATTTCTTCCCTGGCAGAGAGGTGAGGCACTGGAATGGGCTGCCCAGAGAGGTGCTGAGTCACCATCCCTGGAGGGGTTCAAAAAACGTGGACATGGTACTTCAGGACGTGGTTTAGTGGCCATGGGAGTGTTGGGTTGATGGTTGGACTGGATGAGAGTGCAGAGGGAGTTTGCCATGACTTGCTCCACTGAAAGGCTGCACTCCCTGAGTGACTGGTGAGACACCCTCATGGTGAGGGGACTGGCTCCTCTCACTCTGCCAACACCAGCACTTGCCCACAGCTTAGAGCCAGATACTGTGGGGTGAGTGCCCCACGGCTGCAGGACAGGTGGTGGGATCCCTCTGGCCAGCACTGGTGGGTCACTGCCCAGAACCTCTATACGGCCCATCCCAAGACTTCTCCTTGCACTGGAGGGGTCACACCAGCAGCACAGACCAGGATGATGCAGCTCCCTGCAGGTGCCTGGGTCTGCAGAGCACGGTGGTGAGGAAAGGTGTGACTGGTGCTGTGCTGGATGTCCTGGGGTGTCCCCTGGCCTGGTTGTGGTGCCTGCTGGGCACTGCCCATACGTGGTGGGCACGCACCACTGGGGCTGGGCAAGGTCCATCTGCTTTGGGCTTCTCCAGGGGACCTCCAGGGGACAGTAGGCCACCTTTTGATTCTGGACAAGGGGTTTTTAGAGCGAGGTCCTTGCTGGTCAGAGACCCTGGAGCTTGATTCTATCCTGAAGCAGGGCAAGGAATTAGCTTTAGTGGTGCTGGGGCTCCGGGTTGGATCCTGACACTCGCCAGCCTGACCCTTGGCAGGGGCAGGGCTGCTGTAGCACGTGGTGGGCTCCCCCCTTCTCCTCCACTTCCAGCAGAGGAGACATCTCACCAGGCTTCTGGTGGGGCTCTGCACCCTCTGTGTCTGAAAGGAGCCTCACAGTAGTTGCATTTGCTTGCCTGGGACTGCAAGGACAGGCTTTTGGGGACAGACAGGAGGGGTCTGACAAGGAGGGGGAAGCAGTGGCATTGAGCTGTCTCAGGTTTTAGCTAAGGCTGAATCTTAGGGCTAAGGCTCTGGCTCTGACTTGAAGACAGAGCCCTGATGCCACCAGTAGTCACAGTGCTCAGGTCTCTGCTCTCACCACTGCTGCCCTCAGGTCCAGTCAGGAGTGCCAGTGGTGTGGGTGACACGCAGGGACACTTGGCGTGGCCATGCTTGAGGGTGTGGTGACAACCTGGCCCTGGTTCCTTAACTGGAGAGCATCTTCCCCTTGGCACTCCAGAGGAACCCAGCGAGGAGGGTGTGCCCACAGCCCTGCAGCCTTCCCCAGGGGAGACCCGCTCTCACTTTGGTCTCAGAGAGATGTTGGTGGCTTTCTGAGTGGAGTTCCCAGCAGAGCCCAAGCAGGGATGCTCCTCACCCTTCACGGGGGGCAGATGGAGGAGAGGGGCCATGGAAAACCAGGAGTATAAATAGCCCTGTCCATGTGGCTGCTTCAGGGAGGTTTTAATCCCAGCCTGGAAGGGGCCATGGGCAGCCAGGGCAGTGGCTGCAGTGACGGGCAGACCCAGGTGGGCACAGGCAGCTCTTGGCCATGCTCCAGGGAAGGAGGAGCTCCTTGGGCCCTGGGGCTGCAGGGCTGAGCAGAGCCCCTGCAGTGGGGGCCAGGTCCCACCCAGACCCCCCTGGGAGTGGGTGCAGAGCCTGGGGGCTCTGCTGGGGTGGTGGCACTGCACCCACT